GGTATGAAGACCTACATGGCCATACCTGCAGAGATTGTCAACAAGGGATGGCAGGTACAGTACACCCGGTGGAATAATTACTGACCTAATTGTGTGATGATTACCCAGTGAAGCCCCTGTCAGTGACCAAGCCCCCTGTTGAGCTCAGACCCAGTTCAGCTGCCCTGAGCAACGTCACTGTCCTCTCCCAGAGATGGTCCCGCAAACCCCAATACAACAAACTCTACCACCACTATGCACCCTGGTGTTGTCCCACGAAGCTGCAGCCAGGGCCCAGTCCGTCCAATGGACCACCTCAAACCCAGTATCAGTTGTAACCCCAGGGCCTATCAATTGCCAGACTGTAGAGTGGCAGCACAACCCACCCTTGAAATCTCTTGTAGCCCCACACTCTATGGCAGACTCCTGTTGACAGTGGCCTAGCCTCTCAACATCCATGGCAGCAGCAAGTCCCACCCAACAACTGTACTCAAGATCGACAACCTGTAACTCAGCCCCATTGGTCCCAACCCTGCGTAGTGTCAGTCATAAGCCCAATCCACATACTCTCACACACAGACTTAGAGGCATGTCCCTACTAAATGGGCTTTGATGTGAAGTTTGTCACACTATTATGCAAGTCCACATATCTGCAGACTTTCCTTTCTAAGGGACTTGCCAATAGTCTATAGCGGAATTGGTGCCAAAAAAACAAGCGTGGATGGTGAAGGGAGGAAGTCTGCTAGGAATTTTATCAGCATCTGGCTACTGGTGTGTTTCAGCCAACATAGGATTTCCATCCGGTCATGACTTTCCTAACTTTTGGTAGTTTTGCTGAAGTGTATAAATGTAACGTCACAAACAGGAAGTCATCAACTGAGCCAATTAAACTGCAAATGGAACACGAGCTGAAATGGTGATGTGTTGTTTCTGAGCTTTGCTGTCATAATAGTGTGCCCCTTTCCTCCTTTATATACCATTTCAAACCATCATGAACTCTCACACTCAAACTCTACAGCTGTGGCATTAGTCTGTTTAGTGTGCAGGCTTCAGAATGGAGATTGAGATCGGGTGCACGCCCACAAGGGGAAAAATGTGACAAAAACATTTGGAAAGCTGCTTGTCACAGCTCTAATACACTCTTTATTTAATCCAGACAAGAAAACTGCTCCTACTAATTCTAGTACTCTGTCAGATATTTATTTCTTTATCTCGCCAGTCTTGCATCATCCTTTTATTCATGAACTATACTTGAGTATTAATACACGCTCCATTTCATCCACAGATTCAGATCGGCTGTCAAACAGATCGACTGAACTCTCAGGAGTTGAAGAGAGCTCCATGTGTTCATGAGCGATTTCCTATTACGTCAGAGATGATGCAGGTGTGGAACCTGTGGGGGGGACTTATCTACCTGGTGGCCCCGCCCAAAACAAAAGTGGATGGTAAAGAGATAACAGTGCAGATGGCTGTACCTGCACCATATTATAAATTCGGTGAGTGTGTGTTTAAGTGTGTATCCGTGTCATAAAGAGGTAAAGCATTAAGTTGTGAGGGGAAATGAATATCTAGTTCACAATTCAGCCATTTTCCTAAAGCATTGCACATGGTTTGTCTAACTGTTAATCAGATAAACAACATGCGCCACCAAGGTGACTGTGTCATGATGCATTGCTCAGTTTTGAATCCACCCATCCATTGATTCTTTCCAGGTGTGACGACTGCAGCCGAGTGGTCGCTGCTGCGTACAGCTCCCTCACCCTGGGCAGAGCTGGAGTTTGACAACGTCATCCTCACTGTGCTATCAGAGTACATCCGGGACCTGGATCGCCCTGAAGAGCTGGCGGCTCTCTGGAATGACATGATGAAGGCCATTGCTGACCTGGCTGTCATCCCACACAAATTTCCCCGCAAAGAACGCTTTGTGGCAGATGTGCAGATTTCCCACGGTTAGTGTGTGTGTGTCTTTCATGCTGAATATTTCTGCTCCTTTTTATACTGTTCAGAGTCCTGAAGACATGAGGCCTGTCCCAACTCATGGCAGGTAACACGTGGGCATTTTACTTATTGTACTGACGTGCAATTTTTGAGATATTTGTGCTATGCATTTCCCTTTTCTACTACTTATACGTCTGTTTATTCTAGTTTGCATGTGTTTATCAGTCTTATTGACTGGGGGTAGAAACCTTGAATCTTAAAGTTCTGCATTTCAGAGTCCTGTAACATCTGCCAGACAGCAGGAGTACGAAGAGGTGGTGGTGTGATTAGAACGGGCGGTCCCTGATGATGTTGTTGGCCTTTAAAAAGAAAAAAACATCCTTGTTTAAAATGACTAAATGAATGAAGAGTTTTATACCAACACATACTAATATAAGACTTTGCTCTGGTGAGGTTTGCTTGCACTATGTTCCCCCTGCAAAACAGTGGACTCTTAAGGAATCATTACTATAACACTGTTCTTTTCAGGTTGGATGCATGCAGGTTATCCCATCATGGCACATAGTACCTCAGCAGCTGAGCTGGTCAGTGCTGACAACGCTCGGACTAAAGGCATATGGGGCCCCATCCATGAACTGGGACACAACCAGCAGAGGGCCTGCTGGGAGTTCCCCCCAAACACCACAGAGTGTACATGCAACCTGTGGTCAATATATGTGCATGAACAGGTGCTGGGGATGAACAGAGCACAGGTGGAGTAACTCAGTTGTGCTTTGAGATCATTGGCTAAAAACATAGTGTTGAATAGTTCCATGTTTTTATATCCTTAGACAATATAAAACACTTTTTTTGTCATAAGATGAGATACCTTTATTTCACTGGAATGATGGTGTTGAGCAATCAATTCCTCTGGTTCAATGCAGGCTCATCCAGCTGTAACGCCGAAAGAACGACAAAAACGATTGGAGAATTTTGTTAAAGAGGGCAAAAAACCTGACAGCTGGAGCATGTGGGTGGCCCTGGAGACATACATACAGGTAGGACAATAACACTCTGTGCTTGGGCAGCACTGTGTCCTAAAAATGACGGTCTCATTCAACTAAACAGCTTTCTCAACTACATTTTGAGGGAAGGCTAGTTTCTGCTGGATTAGATTTGTGACATGTTACTGATAGGTTTCTAATCAACATATCTTTTCTTTATTTCATTGCTTTACTGTCACTCCTTTTCACCTCACCAGTCATATGTTATATGTTTAACCCAAACCATGATGCTCTCCTCAGCCTGACCTTGTAGTTTTGGTGCCTAAACTTAACCAAGCAGCAAGTGAAAACCAAAAGTAGACAATGAGTGAGAAGGGAACCAATCTATGGATGAAGGTCCGACACAGGACATGAACTCTGGTCTTCTGGGTGAAGCTCCTGTTGGTGATTTATTGCTCCATCCTTCCCTCCTACGTCATTATGCGAAGTTTATAACGCTTTTAAACTGGAGGCAAACTAGAAAATGTAATTGCTGGGAGACGGGGCTGGTTCATGCCACACCTGAGCCAATGTAATTCTTGAAGTATTCAGCAACACACCTGAGTCGGCATTTAAACAGAATCATATCTGTGAACATTCAAAAATAATGCAAATAAAACCAAAATTCTCCACCTCCTTGTAGCGCTTTATTGCTCATTACATATCAGACAGTAACAACGGTAGATTAAAAATTAAAGCATTTTTTCATATTTACGTCTGTCTCCTTCCACGTAGCTCCAGGAAAAGTTTGGCTGGGATGCCTTGAAGAAGGTGTTTGCTGCCTACCACAAGATGAGCAACTTCCCCAAAGACAACCAAGGAAAGATGAACCTGTACGCTGAGACCTTCTCCCAGGCTGTGGGGCAGAACCTGACTGGGTTCTTCAAGGCCTGGGGCTGGCCCATACAAACAGCCACTGAGCAGAAACTGTCCAAGCTGCCTGTCTGGAGCGATCACCCCATGGTCCAGTACAGCTGAGCATCAGACTGCTGCAGACTTCACATAAAATAACGATGCTTGTGCTTACCAACTTGTACCTGTAATGGGGGGATTTACTTAGCTGGCGTTGCTCTCCCTCTGTGTTACTGTCATATTTGAAGTGAAGAACAGAAATAACATACTGCCTCTGACCAGATTCAGATCTTTACTTTAGCATCTGCGTTTTAAATTGACAGCTGATTGTCTTAGAAGGGAGAAGAGCAGGGCACTTGTTCTATTTGTTTACATATTCTGTTTCCAATTCCTTTGCGACATATTTAATTTCAAAGCAATCGTAAAAGTTATGCACGAGAATAGTCTGGTTTTCAGGGTCTTAATATAACAATACTTTTCGGCATGTGTGAGCATTTCTCGTAAACTGCATCTACCATTGGCTTTAATGCTCAGTAATAATTCTTACATGATAGCAGCAATAAGTGAGTCAGGCTTTCTATAATGGACACACCTTTGTTTTCACTGCACGATCTGACTACTGCCAAAGACACAAATAAATATTTACTTTACCTCACTGAGATGTCTTTTTGTTTATCTTTTCATGTTATCTATTTATTAATAAATGCATTTAAATGGCATTAATATGAATGAAAGCTGACGTTTAAGCTTATAAAACTGAACTAACAAATACTGCTAAATGTAAAAACAGAAAAAAAACTATTTCAACATTAAACTTATCACCAGTCACTTTAGTTTGGAGGAGGTACTGCACCAGCTTTCTGCAGGATTATTTGTATGAATGTATGAACACATTTTTCAGTTTTTCAACAACCCAGACACAGATTCTGTCATGTATCTGTAACTGAACTTGTTTGAATATTGATATATGACCTTTAAAAGCTGGATTCTACCTCATCAGCTAATCCACATAGTCCCCTGTTGCTGTGAGACAGACTTAATGCCAGTGCAGCACCTGTAATACCAACGACTTTAGTTGATCTTGTTTGACCGTAACATATTAAAATTGTGTCATGATGTTAACCTTGTTGGAACGTGTCAGAAATGCCATCTACGTGACCTAATTTCATATTCTTCTAGCATTTCTAGGCCAACCCAATTCTGTTTTACCCTGTTAAAATGTATAATGTCACAACCAGTATAACATGTCAGTATATTATGATTGCATATTATTAAATATTTCTATTGCAATACAAAACTGTCAGAGGTTTCTTCTAGAAATGATTAGTTCCCAATGACACCTCAGTGTCTGTATGATGTATAAGTGGTGTGGCATCAACAAATATTGGTCTTTGCCGACTGGATGAACAGGTTTCGTATACAGTCAGGGTGTAGCTCTGTCTCAGTCCTTGTGTATAAGCCATTAGTAAAAACAACAGAGTGTTGACTCAGAGGTTTTGGAATCCAGTCAGTCCAGTTGCACACGATCTTTTAATTCCAGCCTCTGTCACTGGGTTTGCTTGACTTAACTCCTCCTATTATTGTCTTTATCTTTATGAATCTAATCGTCCCTCCTGTTTTGATCTCTTATATAGACTCTTCGTCTTCTTGATATGTGGGAAACTGTTGTAGCACTGTGAAGCAACACAAGCCAAAACCAGCGTAACGTTCAGGTAGAGAACTTTTGCTTTATGTTGCTGTTTGTGGTTAATATCAGTAATTCATGGTCATCAGTATGTAGTCATCAGCTTTAAAATTGTTTCTGAAGTTGTACGTTGATATTTTGTTCTAACTTTGTCGTCATGTCACATAAACAGTGAGCCATTCGCCTTTTTTTGTTGTTGTTGTTCAAATGTCTGTCTGTCTCTCTGTTCCCGCAGGGCAGCCAGACATCAGTCTAAGAACAGCTGTTACAACTTGTGCCAACAAGACTCACATTCAGACTCAGCACAGCTTTCTTTTGCCGTCTACCTTCCTCCTTTATAGCATTACCTCTTCTCATCATGACCAACCAGCCCATCATAGACCACCATGAGGAAGCCTACATGTCCCTGATGAGAGGCTTGAAAGAAGTGGACCTGCGTGGCCCTTACATCCCCAGTGACCTGGTGCTGATTGGAGATCATGCCTTTCCTTTGGTCATGAACAGCCGAGGCCAGGTCCTGATGGCTGCCTCTCTGTATGGCCGTGGACGGATTGTGGTCCTGGGTCACGAGGGCTACCTGACGGCCTTTCCAGCTCTGGTGGAGAACGCTCTGACCTGGCTGAGAGGAGATGGATCTGATAACGTCTCTGTAGGGCTGCACCACAACGTCAAGAGTGTTGCTGATAACCTCGGAAAATCCAGCTTCCAAGCAGAAGTTGTGGGAGCCTATAAGGCCGATCTGGGGGTTGGTGTTTACGTGACGGATGCCTACAGCGTTGGAGCAAACCCGAAGGAACTGGTGGCGTTCATGAAAGCAGGAGGAGGAGTGCTGATAGCTGGACAGGCGTGGCACTGGGCGTCAAGTCACCCGAAGGAGAACACACTGCTTCTGTTTGATGGGAACAAGGTGTCAGGGGTGGCAGGAATCTACTTCTCTGAGCATCAGGGTGAAGCAGAGAACCTGCCTGTCTACCCTCAGATCCCATCCTCCTGGATGTCTGTGGTGTGAGTGCACAGTGTGTTTCTCTTTCTTTTGTATTTGGTTATGAGCTGTAATCTGACAGCAGTTCTCAAAGAGTGACATCCATTAAACAAGGCCACGAGCACAGTTAAAAAAGAACTGTCACCTAATAGTGACAATTCGTTTCTTTTTCCATCTCCCTAAAATACAGAATAGGTAAGGATTTTGAGGACGACTTGGAGTTCTTACTGGCGGGCATTTCAGAGTTTGATCTCCTGAATGGGGTGCTAGCTTCTGAGGCTCTGATCCACGGCCCTCTGGCCTTCCCCATCGGTACCACTGAGGATGGACGAGCGTTTCTGGCAGGAGCCTACTATGGCCAGGGACGGGTTGTTGTGATCACACATGAAGGACTTTTGAGGCGAGAGGTAGGTTGTCAATAATGTTCTGTGTTTTTCTTATTTACAGGAATACAGTATTAATGTTGCTCAGTGTTTTTTATGAAAATGAGACTCGTGTGATTCACATTCCTACACAGTCATCAGATCTCACTCCATCTGAATAGAAGAGATAGAATAGAATAGAAGAGACTTGCAGACACCTTTTTAAGTCATGTTGCATTTAATCTGTTTTCCATCTGTATGTCACAGTTTATTACACTTACCAGAAAGCTTTCTTACTCATTCATTCATTAGATACTGTACAACCTGCAGCAGTTGGCTACCTGTAGTCCAGCCAGCTGTAGCATAGAATTAAACAAATGAACTCAATCAGTCAAATACTTCTTATGTGATGAACAAACCACTCTCTTTGTTGAATAACCATCTTTCTTCACAGACACTGGCTCCATTTTGGAACAACGCCATTCGCTGGCTGGATGAAGGCCGGAATGGGGTTGTTGGTGTGGTGCCAGACCTCCATGATGCCTTCAACCTCTTCCACAAGTCAGGCTTTAATTGTGAAAAGACCCACTTCAAGGAAGACCTGAGTGTGTTTGTGTGCACAGCGTACAGCAATGACCATGTTCAGGAAATCCAAAACTTTGTGGCAGAGGGAGGAGGCCTGCTGATTGGTGGACATGCCTGGTACTGGGCACAGACACACCTCGGGCAAAACCCAATGACAGAGTTCTCAGGTATGATGGTGTGGCACAACTTATTATTCCAATTTACACCAGCACACACACATTGGCAAGAACTTTGATTGCTAGTTAGTAATGACACTCACCAGGGACAACAATGAACTGCCACAGTGGTTTGACTTTAAGTGAAGATTTGCAGTCACAAATCTAAGCGCAGTTTCAGAAAATAGGCTCAGGAAAAGACAGGTCACTAGAAAAAAGAAACTGGAGAAAAGTCATGGCTCGTGCCTCCATCCACACAAGATTGGGTACTACAGAATCACTACATGGAGGTTCATACAATATAGTATGAGGGTAAGACCTCAGTATTCTTCAAGTAAAGTTCCTGTTGGATCCCACCTCTAAGTGTTTGCTTACTGACAGAAGCAGAATTTATCTTCACTGGATCACCAGTAAAAAAACAGAGTCAACAAGCAGCTAAATTAAAAAGGAAATCCTGGACTGGGATTAAGAACTCACAGGAAAGCTGGCAGGCGAGATTCTGGTTCTGGTAAAAGCAAAAAGAAGAAAGAGGAAGACACAGACGTGCCCAAACTAACAAAAGATGATAGATGTTTCCACCAGATTTGGGCTTGGGCATCAGTCCAATCGTCTTTCAACCGTACAGCACAAAGCTCAAGTCAGCCTCCTTGCATTATGTTTCAGGGAACAAGATCCTGAACAAAATGGGCTTGAGTCTGCTGGGGAAGACGATCGGGGAAGGGTCCTACAAGGCCCCTGTACCCAGCCAGGCCATTAAAGACAGCTACCACTTCCGCCACCTTTTACATCGCTTTGCTGGCCATGTGTCCGAGGGACAGGAACTTACAGCGCATGAAGAGGAATGCCTTAAAAAGCTGGGTGGGGACTGTGCCAACTACCTGCACATGAAGGCTCATGGCTGCTCCTCCTACACACAGGTGGTGTCCACGCTCACTGACATCTTAAAGAAGTCTGGCATGCCACAGGTAGGCAGGGAATGACATGCTCTTTCGTGATATCTTAGATTCAGTTACCATTAGTCAAAGCATATGTTGAAAATGCAATAACCACCGCAGTAATACAAGCAACTGTACGATTGGAGCAATGCTACCAATATTACCATCCTCTATATGCCTGAGGTCTAACGTGGTTCCGTAACATTCACCATTGTTTTGAAGGTGAGCGACACCTGCCCTGCGAAGAGTCCCAGAGACCACCTCCTGCTCAATGTGGGGGCAGAGGTGTATAAGGTTTGCCCAGATCCTGACGAATTGCTGCCCTACCTCATCAAGAACAACCCACTGATGCCAGTTGTCTACAACCACAGAGTCAAGATTGACGTCAACACAGCAGGTCAGATCTCATTGTTGTGGGCAAATAGGGGAACTTTTACTGAGTCCAACTCCTATATAATATGTGCACACCTTTTCATGAGTAATGTTTGTGCTTTTACATGATATTAATCTATACACCTCACTGTAGCGGTGATATGTATAATATTTAGTATTTCTACATGTAAAGATCGCAGATTATAACGTCTGATGTCGTGTTTGTGTGTCAGAGCGGGAGGAGTGGGTCAGCACTGGACTCTACCTGTCCCATGGTATGAAGACCTACATGGCCATACCTGCAGAGATTGTCAACAAGGGATGGCAGGTACAAAGCCTACAAACTAAATCAATGTTACTGGGTCACTGTTAGACACGGTACCTGCAAAACTAAAATGGGCTTCATTGGGTTAATTGGTGCTACAGACGCAGTAAGACCAATAATTATCACTATGCATAAGAAAACATAGCTAACACGCCATCTTTCTATCTGCTGTATATTTCCTGCCGGACATCATGTGACTCAAACATCTATGCTGCACTTTTTATCTTCCATGTGTTTCTCAGATTCAGATCGGCTGTCAAACAGATCAGCTGCATGCCGAAGAGTTGAAGAGAGCTCCATGTGTTCATGAGCGAATTCCCGTTACCTCAGAGATGATGCAGGTGTGGAACCTGTGGGGGGGACTCATCTACCTGGTGGCCCCGCCCAAAACACAAGTGAAGGGGTTGGAGGCGACAGTGCAGATGGCTGTACCTGCACCGTATTATAAATCTGGTGAGTGTGTCGTGGATGGTATTGGAGGAGGTGAACGATCACAGGCAGGCAGGCGAGTATAGTGACAGATGGGCAGCATTCACCTAGAACAGTTAAGGTGGCACAAACAGGAGTCCATATCATAAAGAGCACGGAAATTAACAACAACCTGGTCGGGAGTCAGTGGAGGCTGCTAGCATAAATACAGGCGGGGAAGGCAGGCAACCTGGGACAGGTGTGTGAAAGACCATATGGGGCCATAAGTAGATAAATGTGGGAGTCAGGTGACTACACAAGATAGAAAATCTGAGGACATCTGGTGGACAGATGGAGAATGGCAGCAACTGTGGGGAAAAATAATAACACGTACTGCAGGGGGTGATGATGAGGTTGGGAAAAGGTGAAGACAGGTGAAGTTAAGCACGACTTCTGGTCAATTCAGGAATGCCATGAACCTGAGTGAGAAGAGATTAGTAGTGGGAAAACATACTAAATGAATGAAGGCATGGCAACATATCTGTGAACCCATTAGTAAATTTGTTCGTCCACTGGTGGTGCATGTAATACAGGCATTTACGTCTGAAGACAGAAGATTTATTTCACACTCCAACCATGCAGCATGTTCTCAGAGTTCACAAATCTAGACTCTGTTTTGAATACACACTTGCAATATGTTTATCTTTCTTCAGGTGTGACGACTGCAGCCGAGTGGTCACTGCTGCGTACAGCTCCCTCACCCTGGGCAGAGCTGGAGTTCGACAACATCATCCTCACTGTGCCGTCAGATGTTGTGCGGGACCTGGATCGCCCTGATGAGTTGGCGGCTCTCTGGAATGACATGATGAAGGGCATTGCTGACCTGGCTGTCATCCCACACAAATTTCCCCGCAAAGAACGCTTTGTAACTGATGTGCAGATTTCCCACGGTTAGTGTGTTTGGCTGTGATCCTGTAGAGAAATGCCTGATTTACTCAAAGTTGCACAACTTCTCAGTAAAAGTTAGTTATTGAAAGAGAAGTTTTGCGTTGACTTCATGCACCAATCAGCCACAGCATTAAAACCAGTGGCAGGTGAAGTGAAACATAATCACAGTTATAATCATCTTTATTTGTAGATTAGTTTAAAAAAAAAAACCTTCACAGTGTTAGACAGGTAGTTTAAAGGCTGTGGCTGATCCATGAACATCACAGATTTACATATGTTCAGAACTGTTCTTCTGTTTTTATTCTATCCAGGCTGGATGCATGCAGGTTACCCTATCATGACACACAGGTGCACAGCAGCTGAGCTGGTCAGCGTTGACCATGCTAGGACTAAAGGCCTGTGGGGCCCCATCCATGAACTGGGACACAACCAGCAGAGGGCCAGCTGGGAGTTCCCCCCAAACACCACAGAGTGTACATGCAACCTGTGGTCAATGTATGTGCATGAACAGGTGCTGGGGATGAACGGGGCACAGGTGGAGTAACTCATTTCTGTAGAAATGTGATCACACTGTTTTACCATCAAGTCATTCCCCCGGATCAGCATTACAGCATGATGAGTGTCATGTGTTGACTCTAGGCTGAATGTGCTATGGAACCAACAAATAGGAGATCTCGTACAGAGGAATACGTTAAGGGAGGCAAGCAGTTCAACAAGTGGGATACATTTGTGGCCCTGGAGACTTACATGCAGGTGAGAGAGAACTGGTGTATGTGTGATTACTAAGAGGCTATACCTGTGCCACACATTTAGACGCTAGACTAATGATTGTCTTAATTCTTCTTTTTATTAGACTCGTAAAACTAGTGGGACAAAAATGTGTAATGTTGCCTGACATGCATCTAAGGACAGATTTGGAAGACGATGTTTTTACCTGATTCAAGGATAGTAAACCTCATTTAGACAGGATTAATACTCCTCTTCACATTTATCTTTGCCTCTGTCTCCTTCCACGTAGCTCCAGGAGAAGTTTGGCTGGGATGCCTTTAAGAAGGTGTTTGCTGCCTACCACAAGATGAGTAACTTCCCCAGTGACAACCAAGGAAAGATGAACCTGTACGCTGAGACCTTCTCCCAGGCTGTGGGGAAGAACCTAGCTGGGTTCTTCAAGGCCTGGGGCTGGCCCATACAAACAGCCACTGAGGAGAAACTCTCCAAGCTGCCTGTCTGGAGCGATCACCCCATGGTCCAGTACAGCTGAACATCAGACTGCTGCTATTTAAAGGAAAGGCTTCTCTGTAGCTGCTGCTCAGCTCTGGAATCGCCTGCCAGAGGCCGAATGTGTTGATGTTTTCAGAAGTGCCTCAAGACCTCCTTCAGTTCTGTAGCGTTTGATTGTATTTCACCCGATTTTCCTTTTAAACTGATTCCTTGGGTTTTGAAATGTGTTTAAACCTGTGTTCTATTTTAGTCTTGTTGTATTTCCACAACCCAACTCTTATTGTGTGTGTCTTGTGTGGTGTGCAAACTGTATGTGTTTGTAAAGCATTTTGGGATAAAGCCTGTTTAGCCTTTTAAAGTCCTAAATGCAATATACTTGAAAGTAGATTTTACTGCAGTTGTATTTAATGGTAAATGTCCCACCTTGTTTTGATGTAGAAAAAAGAGACAGTAGTGACACAGCTGTCTGTGGAGCTTTTGAACTCTTCAACTTCATTTGTAAAGAACTATTCACTCTAGTGAACATGATCGTGTTAAAGGGAGATACACAGTTTGGAATTAATCAGTTCTCTCGTACAGATACACCAGTTTGTATACATAAGGGTAAAAACCTAAAGGTCATCAATGAGACACAATATTAAGAGAATATTTGAATTAGTACCTGCGCTGCCTGTGAATGCTGACTTGGCATTATAACCCTTCTACTTTGACAGAAGTGTTGATGACACTATTATGGATCAGAGCGGTCATTCCTTCCCCTAATGTTAACACCACATTGAACAATAAGTGATTTGAGAGGTGGTTACAGGATGAACAATACGCTTGATAGTTGTGTTTCTTAATATTTACTGTCACTGGAATAGATCACTGTCCTTATTTCATCAGCTGCAGTCGTTGTGTAAAAGCTCCTCTCCTGGTGAAGTGAAGAACCTCTGATAGGTTGCTTCCAGTTCACTCAGGGGGAGCTTCTTCACTTTCTCACTTTCTCTATGTCTTATCGGGGTTGTATCCATTGTGCCGCCCTGGTTATCTGTTTTACTTTAACAGCTTTTTTCAAAGCTCCACCGCTCATCTCAAGTCGTCCATCACTACCACAGTTCCAGCAGGAAGTTATTTAAAAGGTACATGGCTTCTTTACACATCCAGCACTGGAGCGACGTGATGTTTCAGTTGTGTTTCTGTCCACCTGACAAATATAAATACAACTCTCACAACCCTGGGTTTGTCTTTGATCAGCATTTCTGTTGCCCTCACTGCTAAATGCTCTGCTATATTAACCACTACAGTAGCACAAAACAGCTGCGGCTGAAAAACTACAAGAATGGTGAAAGTTCACTTACAACGAGGACAGCTTAATGGGAGCTGGGATTCACTATAAAGCTGTGTGAAGCTGAGGAGAGCTGCAGATTTCAGTGATAATTCTCTGTACATTCGCCAGTCAGTGAACCAGTCATTTTTACTGTAAAAATATTGTGAAGCTGCTCCATGTATTGAGTTGTGCGCTGCCCAAACAGCAGAGATTCAGCTACAGTTAAAAGGTGCAATATATATTTTCATAGTTTAAAACTGAATGTGGATGTTACGGCACATGATCAGGTTTGACTGCACAATGTTTATTTCATAGTTATCCACAACAAAGTCAGGGAATAATGCAGCGCTCTACAGTTAAACAACAGCTGACAGAACCACCTGATGATTTTAATGTTCTGCTGAATTTATTTGCAGGCTGACAGGCTTGAATGGCTGCTGGCAGTTTGATGATTTGTTCAGTTTGCAAAATGATAAGTCAGACTTATAATTGATACCACACATGAGAGACAAATATAAAGCTTTAAACTCTAAGTAGGCAAATGAAAACTGCATATACTGGCTTTGCTATTAGCTCCACCAAGGAGGTTATGTTTTAGCCTGTGTTTATCTGTTTGTTTGTTCATTAGCCAGACAACTCCAGAAGTTCTTCTGTTCTGAAATTTTCAGGAAATGTTGATAATGGCACAATGAACACATGGTTACATTTTGGTGAATTTCTCATTGGGCTGCAAGGTGGCGCAGTTGGTAGCACTGTTGCCTTGCAGCTAGGTTAATTGGTGATTCTAAATTGTCCGTAGTGAATGAATGTGTGCTTGGTTGTCTGTCTCTAAGTGTGGCCCTGCGGTGGACTGGTTGCCTGTCCTTCACCTGCCTTCACCCTAAGTCAGCTGGGATAGACTCCAGCCCAACCGCCACCCTGGTGAGGATTGAACAGTGTATAGATAATGGATGGATGGATGGATGGATGGATGGATGGATGGATGATTTTCTCATAGAACAGTAAATACTGTCACAGCAATGTTGTCCTTGTGCCGTTTGTCCACTAGATGGAGCTCTGACTCCATTCAGTCCTTCAGTCCTCACCGCTGTCTTCTCAGTAGTACAGGAGTAAACTACAGCCAGGCAGTGTTACAGGAGTGGGCTGAGCGGAGCTACTGACAGATAAGTTCAGAACCACACTGTGACACTAACAATGACTTAGCATGTCTCCTGGTTCACTTTAACTCTCTTTGCCATGTGTCAGGACCACTGACGTGTGCTTCGTTGCATCTGTCATGCTTTTCATTGCTAAAATTGTGCTACCCTAGCCTAAGTTACTCCCTGTGTGTTTATGTTAGCAATAACATGACTGTAGTTTTACCAACCTAGCATATTGTTAGCTAACAGCTTAAAGCCAGTCAGGAACTGCAGAAATACCGTCATTGTACAAAATATTGTAGAGTACAGATGGACCATTCATCACTTTGTCAGCTTGCTATCAGTGATATCAATGTTCATTCAAATGCTAAAGCTATGTTCTGATTATCCATGAATCTAACAGTGTAGATAAAATGAATGCAGGACTTTAACATTGGCTGGAAATCACAATATGGTGGAAATGAGCTGCTTGGCGGAGGTCTGCGCTCTCAGGGGGCTTGTCTCGTTAATTATACTGGATGTGTTTCTGTAATGACTTTCTGTCGACTACAGCGCTGAACGAAGGCGGCTAACGCTAGCTAGCTTAGGCCAGTGTTAGCGAAACGGTGGGTAAATCATAGACTGGAGCTTTAAAATCTTAACATGAGGCACGTTCATGTCGTCTTCTTCTTGTTCAGGATTTAAATGTGTGTCATTTGAGCTCTGTGGTTGAAGGACAACATTTGAGTAACTGAAGGACTCTGTGCAGCTTAATGAGCCTCGTGTACATTCAGAGGTCAATGTCACCACCACATGTCAATAAATGTGTTCTATATTGTATTCAGTGTGTTTAAAGTGTGAGATGGTGGACGTGTTGGTTCGTTAACATTGAACTCTATGAGGAGTTTCAGGCAGTGAAGTGAAGCAGCACCAACCGACGTTCTAGAACGTTCCGTGTGGTGACGTCACAAAGCTGCTCCACAACCTTCCGCTTCTAGGGGACAAAATAGTGCAAACCAACTGAGACACAGTACACATGATTTTCCTGACAGAGAGAGCTGCCACCATGTTGTACTGCACAAGGAAGGTTTGTTTCACAGATATTCACAGTTATTTACGCTGTTTCAGACCTTGTTCCTCTAAGACTGTGGCGTTTCTCTGCTTCTCTGATGAGATTTCCTGCAGTTACTCTGGTCTGTGAGGCCAGTTTACATCAGCAAACGATCTTTATTTGCTAATTTATGTTATATTTTTGCCCTTTTTCTGATTGTGATCAGAACACACAAGTCGCTAGCGAACCAGTGGAGGGAGATCAGAGCAGACAGCGCCCCACTTTGGATGAGAGGTAATGACGAACACAGAAAAACCAGTAAAAACTAAAGGAGGAATGATGGGCTTAGGTTTATGGAGGTGTTTTTTTACACAGTAGTAAACTAAAAAATGTGTTTTATTACACAGTTATGTGTCTATATGCTTTTTAACTTTTTGTTATATAATTCAATACTGCAGCAATCAGTGAAAGCAGCACATTCACAAAAACATATCTGCATGAGGACAAGATCAAGTAAATTCACTAATTTAGATGAACATTTTTAAGATGCAACCTTTATTTGGATGGGTTGGGTTGACATAACGATGACGGTAATTACTAAACATTAATATTATGTGTAATTTGAAATCATATTTATGTTCACAATTTAAAGTCCTAGTAAACGTAGTGGACAGTAGCTGTGGTCGAAATCACCCACTCACTCCCTACTACCTATATAGTGCACTATATAGGGAGCACCTCGGCAAAGTATCATTTCAGACACTACTCGAGCTATTAACTACGTCGCTCGCTAGCCGCGATTTGTGCTGCAACAGCGTAGTACAAACACATCAAATTAACAGTTTATTGCGTAGCTAAGAAATCAAATTAAATCCAGTTTATTGTCATTTTGCTGTACATACCAGATGAGAGAGCGTTTCTTCAGGATCCAGTAACTAAAAGCAATTTAACTAAAGTGGTGTTGTATGTCCAAATCACAACCGAGCGCCACAATTTTAGCGACGTTCACTATCCAGGTAAAATAAAATGTAACAAAACAAACGGGAATTTTTCCACGCTCTCGTTCATCTCCATTTCCATTTCCTTTCGCGCAATGCATGACGGTCCATATTGCTCAGTTAGTAACCATCGGCTGTACACTACTTTTTACGGTGCATTGTGGGATATTTTGAGTGCACTATGTAGTGGATGAAATTTACCGCTGAGAATTCGAACAACACTACAAAATGGCGTGCACCCTATATAGTGCTCTATGTAGGGCATAGGGAGGGATTTCAGACACAGCTAGTTTCTGCTGGTTGGGGTCGTTTGTTAGAACCTATAGGCTGAACAAGATGTCTCTGACTAATAAATTCCTCTGAAGCAATGAGTTTAGGAAAATTTTGTGATGTGACCAGTAGTGGACTCATGTACGGAGTTCAGATGACAGTTAATGAAATATGTTGTTCTACAACTCGTAGCTAAAAGTCGATATTCAGCAGTAATTTGTCCACGTTTCCCTTCAGTTGATCAACTCGTGGATAAGAATGATAAAGTTTCATCTGTTCAGCAAGAGAGAGCTTCTCATGATTCATTATACTTTGTGGGCAAATTTAAGATAAAATTAAACAGAAGATTCAAATGTTGTGGGTGGAAATACACAAAATGTGTTTTAATTCTGTTGCTGAATATTTTCTTAAAAGCTAATACATTAACAAAAAAAAACATGAAAAAGCCAACAACTACTGAAGACAATCTGATTGGAGCAGGTATTATTTTAAAAGGTTTCTCAACTTCAAAACTTGTGATCATAATTGTGGCATGTGAGTACTGTTAGATAACGTAGTGAAACTGTGTGGAACGAGTTAAGTGTACTCATCTTACAGACTCAGGAGGTAAATAAAGTAAAACTAGTTAAGAAAATCAAAGTGAAGCAACATAATTATTCAAATGTTTGTCATCTAAACGCCCCCTGCTACCAGTCTTTGAATAATTAAAATTAAAAATATCTGATTGTAGCGAGGAAAAGCTGATTCCCCCAAACTCAGTGTAGTTTGTTGCTTTAACATAATTTTATAGAAGTTGTCTGATGGCTAATGAATGAATTGTTGTGTTGAGCCCAAACATTACGTTCAGAGTGTGTGAGAAGATGGTTAAAGTAATATCTGTTCTTTATGATAACAAGCAAATGCACCACAGCAGCTTTAAAGCTTTTTAAAGTTTGTTCAAGTGAACCTCTGATGTTGGAATCTGGGAAACTTCCTGGACTGTGCTCCTCATGTGTGCTTCTTGATTTGTTTGGTTGAAGCCTGTGACAACACACGGAGTATTTAATGCTTTAAAACAAGTTAATTTTCATTTAAGAGTTCTGATTAAAGTCTGATTTGTTTCAAACACAAGGTCATGATAGAATAAGCGGCCATGTTTCTGTTTGTCACCAGAGTCACCATGTCAGGAGCTCCAGCTGACAAGACCTTAGGAGAAAACTCCAAGGAGAAAACTCCTTGGTGGTACAAGCTGTTTGGTCAACTCCAGGTGTGTTTAAGGAGGAATGTCAGTGCTTTACATGATCATTTTACACGTTTGAAACATTAGTATTCAGACACAAAACATGTTTTTACTTTAACTCTGCAGAAAAAGAGCGAAAGTTCATCATCCTCTGTGGAAGAGCAGCAGCAAAGGTAAGAAAGTCAGTGCCAGTAGTGTCACTGTGGACTCAAGCCTTTATCCTAGAGACACATTCATCCTCTGAGCTGACTGAT